TGGTCACCGGCTGTTAGGTCACACGGAGGTGTGGGACAGCTGGTGAAGGGACTGCCCAGCCCGAGATAACCTGGTTAATGTGCTGGTTAACTTTTGTCAACCAGACACAAGCTAGAGACATTTGGGAAGAGGGAACCTCAATTGAGAAAATTCCTCCACCAGGCTGACCTGTGGGCAAGCCTGTGGTGAATTGTCCTGATTGGTGATTAAAGTGGGAGGGGCCAACTCACTGTTACCCCTTGGCTGGTGGTCCGGTGTGAATAAAAATGGCAGACTGCGCAAGTCTCCAGAGCCCATAAACAGTACTCCTGCCTTCGGGGTCCTCCCCCTGAGTTCCTGCCGTGACCTCCTTTCACCGGAGACTGTAAGCTGAAATAAAGCCTCTTCTCCCCCATCTTCTGGTCATGGTATTTATCACAGCAGTAGAAACCTAACCTAGCAAGGACAGCTGTGGGTCCCAATATTCTGACTGCCTACCTTCATTTGAGGGAGACTGAATTAGTCAGGAGGCCTCGCGGAACTGTGTGTGTAAATACACGTGTGCACATGTGAAAACCAGAGGCCGGCGTCAGGTGCCCTCCATCACTCTCCACCTTATTTTTTGAGACGGGGTCTCTCACTGACACTGCAGCTCGTGGAGTAGACTAGCCCTGCTGACTGCTGCGGGCTCTGGGGATCCTTCTGTCTCTACCTCTCTAGCTCTGGACACACAGATTTTTTTTTTTTTTCTCCTGAGGATCTGAATGCAAGTCTTCATGCTTGCATGGCAAGCCCACCTCTTAGAATAGTTTTCATGAACATACCCTCCCACCCCTACCTCTGCCCCAAGCAGGGTGGCTTAGTATGGGCTAAACATTGTGCTGGGAACTCCACAAAGAGTGTCTTATTCTGTCCTTAGAGCAGTTGTGTGAGGTGATGTATTATCAGCTCTCTCTTTTTAAGAGTTGTTATTATTTTGCCTGTATGGGTTTGTGGCTGTGTGCAGTGTCTGAAGAGATAAGCAGAGAGTGTCAGGCCCTAGAGCTGGGCGTACAGGTGGATGGTTGTAGCTCCCTGGTGTCGGTGCTGGGAACCAAGCCCACCCAGGTCCTCTGTAAGAGCAGCAGGTACTCTTAACCACTGAGCCATCTCTATAGCCCCTAGGGTTTTATTTTCTTTATTTTTGTATTTTGAGACAGGATTTTACTGTGTAACCCTCGTGGTACTGGAACTATCTCTGTAGACCAAGCTGGCCTTAAACTCACAGAGATCCACCTGCTACTGTCTCCTGATTGCTGGGATTAAAAACATGAGTAGTAATAGCAGTAGGCTTATTTTCTTAATTTAAAAAATAAAATAAACAAACAAAATACAACCAGTGTTGTGGCTCATGCCTTCAATCCCAGGAGGCAGAAAAAGGCAGATCTACGAGATTGAGGTTAGCCTGGTCTACACAGTTAGTTCTGGAATGGTTAGGACTGTACAGAGAAATCCTGTCTCTGGAAAAAAAATAACAAAAAAAGGTAACAACATCATCAATAAAAATAGTCTGGCCATATTGTGGTGGTACACACTTTCAGTCCCAACATTTGGGAGGCAGAGGCAGGTAGATCTCTGAGTTTGAGGCCAGCCTGGTCTACAGAGCAAGTTCCAGGACAACCAGGTTGGGATGGGGGAAAAGGTCTGATTGTGTATTAAAAAATAAAATATAGGTATATGACTGACCAGCTTTTCCCAAATTAACATAAAGAACAAAGGAAACAGCTACAGGTCTTTGCTAATCACTGCTTTGTTGAATTAGAGCCCCTTTGCTTCCAGTGGAACCCCCCAATTCCTTCCCAGATGACCTGAGTTTATCTGGATCTGCTCGTGTTTCTGTATACCATGGAGCCAGGCATCTATCCTCAGGTGGTCCTTGTTTGGAGACATCATCAATCCTATGTCCTATGTCTGCAAGGAGAAGCTAATGACAGCCACCCCCGTCAGTAAAGTGTCACCTTCATATCTTGCAAATAGAACTGCAAATGTTTGTAGAGGCTCTGCCCTTACTGACATTGCCAGTCATATCTGCAACATGAGGCCACAGGTCTGCGTTAAGGCTGTCCAAAGAGGTCGGGTGCGGTGTCTCGAGGGGCTCGGAGTTTTGGATTTTAGGGAGAAAGGTAAGTCAGTAAGTTGAGGAGTTAGACAGGAGTAGGAGAGGTGGCAGGCTTGAAGATGTATTAAGGTCCTTGCCTGAGGTTTATTAATTCTATGAATCTTTGCTAACAGGGTAGGCGTGGGCATCTGATGTGCAGATGGATGGGTGGGTGAACACTGCCTTCCATGGCAGGAAGAGGTGCCCAGATGTCCAGAGGTGTCAGTGTGAGCAGGGTAGTGCTTTTCTGGAGGGGTGTGTGCGTGTGTGTGCAAGAGAGAGAGAGAGAGAGAGAGAGAGAGAGAGAGAGAGACTGACTGACTGACTGACTGACTGACTGACTGTGTAGTTTCGGCTGGCTGGCCTGGAACACTATACATACCAGGCTGGCTTGAACTCACAGAAGTCTGCCCACCTCTGCTTCCCTTTGATCCTGATGGAATCAAACGTATCCACCCTCCACCATGGTGAGAGACTTCTTGACTCATTTCTCTTTGGACAGGCACCCTGCATTTACATCTGCCGAGAAGGTAAAGTAGATAATGAATGCCAGAGCCACTGTGGGTGGGGATTGCTGCTGGAGATGAGTGGTTTCAGTTGATCTTGAAGAAGTTTGAGCACTTCCTGTTAGAGAACCCAGGTGGAGGTGGAGTTAGCTGTGGGGTTATGGTTTCTATTCCCACTATGGAACCCACTTCCTGAGAGAGTGTGACAGCTAGGGAGTTCGACCAATAAATAGGAAACAATGACAGAATACACAGAAGCCACCAGACGGATTTGACGTGAGTTAGTGAGTTAGTCATCTTGTTTCGTGTGTGTGTGTGTGTGTGTGTATACGTGTATACATGTGTATATGAGTGCATGTGGAGGCCAGAGGTTGGTGTCTTTCTCCAGCCCTCCGTACCCTATCTTTTGAAACATGGTATGCCTCTGAATCCAGCGTCCACCAGTTAGCTAGGCTTTCTGACCATAACTGCCTATCTTCCAACCCCTATGATTGGGTTACTGACGTGTGCCTGGCTTGTCACATGGGTGTCAAGGTCTCAGAACTCAGGTCCTCCTCACGCTTGCGCAGTAAGTGCTTTATAGACTGAGCCATCTCCCGTGAATGGTAGGTGTGCTTGAACATGGATAAGACAAACAAAATTGCCTAAAATCCACGAGAAAAGAGGGCAAGCAGGGACCTAGCATTGAGAAGAGGGGCTGCATCCACTTAGCTCTGGAAGTCACCATTTATACCTTGTCCCAGCTGTCTCTGTCTGCACAGTTTTTCATTAAGACAAAAATCTCAGCTCAGGTTGGCCTCAAACCCAGAATCCCCCTGCACCCCTTCCAAGTACTGGGGCTACAAGCATGCAGCACCGAGCTTCCTTCTTCCCTTTGCCCATTCGTGCTTTCTTCTTTCTCTTATTTTTGGAGACAGTTTCACTATGTAGCCCTGGTTGGCTGAGAGCTCACCATAGAGATCAGGTTAGCCCCCAGACTCAGGAGCAATCCTCTTACCCCTCCTTCTGGAATGCTGGGATTGCAATCTGTGCACCACATCCAGCTGTCCCTTCTTTTGTTGTTAGTTTTTGTTTTACGTGGGCTGCCGTGTTTACAATTACCAGTCTTACTGTCATTGTCGCTTGCAGTTCCCGTCTCTGTAGTTCCACAGCTTGTATGTAAGTTAAAACTTAATTGTTAGGCTGAAGATGGCTCTGCAGGTTAGGGTACCAGCTGCTACTGTAGAGGGCCTGGATTTGGTTCCCAGCATCAACATGGTGGCTCACATCGATCTCATGCCCTCTTCTGGCCTCCATGGGCACTACACACATGTAGTGAAAGCATACATTCAGGCACACAACTCACACAACAAATTTTTCTTTAAAAATTCTAAACTGTTATCTATTTACTATTCCAACAGCATCTTACCCACAAGTTATTATGTTCTCAGGGGCAGTGAGCTCTGCACTACCCTCCCTCACAGACTCCCACACGGGGATGTCACATAGAAGCACTTGTGAGAGCCAGGCACAGTGGTCCATACTGTCTATAAATCCAAATACTTGGGAGGTGGAGGCTGGAAGATCAGGAGGGCTAGGACAGCCTGAACTACCAGAGACCTTGCCTCAAAAATAAACAAAGTCCTTGACAGACAGACAGACAGATAAACCCACAAGCAAAGCAAGCAAACAAACAGAAGTACTTATTGGACAGAATAGTGTCACTTTAATAATGGAAAATTCTAATATATTTTCCTTTTTTTTAAATTTTTATGATTTATTTATCTTTTATTTTATGTGCATTGGTGTGAAAGTGTCAGATCCCCTGGAACTGGATTTTCAGACAGTTGTGAGCTGCCATATGGGTGCTGGGAATTGAACCCAGGTCCTCTGGAAGAGCAGTCAGTGCTCTTAACCGCTGAGCCATTTCTCCAGCCCTATATTTTCCTTTTAAATTAAAAAAAAATTAATGTGTGGGCTGGAGAGGTGGCTAGGGGGTTAAGAACATTGTCTGCTCTTCCAGAGGATCCAGGTTCAATTCTTAGCACCCACATGGCAGCTCACAACTGTAACTCCAGTTCCAGGGAATTCAATACCCTCACAAAGATATATGTGCAGGCAAAACATCAATGCACATAAAATGAAAATAAATCATTAAAAAAATAGTGTGTAAATAAATTAGTGTGTGTGTGTCTGCACACACACACATGCTATGTCGTGCATGTGTCAGTCAGAAGACAGCCCTGAGGATTTGATTCTGTCCTGTCTTTAAGTGGCTTCCAGGGATAACTCAGGTCATCAACCCTGTGCAGCAGGCCCTCACCCCCGGAGCCGTCCCCCCAGCCCTGATTCTAGTGTTTCGGGTGGACCTTCTAACTCTGTTGATTTGTGTTTTACAGGTGAAGCCCAGAGGCCTTTATCATGTCGGATGGGGATTATGATTACCTCATCAAGTTTTTGGCCTTGGGAGACTCTGGAGTGGGGAAGACCAGTGTGTTGTACCAGTACACAGATGGGAAGTTCAACTCCAAATTCATCACCACAGTGGGCATTGACTTCAGGGAAAAGAGAGTGGTGAGTTCTACATCCTTCGGAAGAGTCTAATCTGTGTCAGCACATCAACAGGCCTACTGTGTTTGCTTTGTAGGACTTTAGAAGTCAAAGGCTGGGACCTAAAATTAGAGTTCAGAGGAAAGTGTGGCTGGGTGTGGCGGTGCACACCTTTAATCCCAGCCTTTAGGAGGCAGAGGCAGGTGGATCTCTGTGAATTCAAGGCCAGCATGGTCTACAGAGCTAGTACCAGGACAAGCTTCAAAGGTACACAGAGAAATCCTGTCTCAAAAAACAAAAAAAAATCAAAACAAAACAAAAGGTGAAGCATTTATACGTTCTGAAGAGATACCAGAGTCTTGAAAAACCAAAAACCAAACAAACAAAAAACCAACCCCTTTGGACACAATTAAAGTGCATATTACTTTTTTCCTTTTAAAAAATACTTATTTTAAATCATATTTCTGATGTGCATCCCTGTGAGTGTATGTTCATTCTCTCTCTCTCTCTTTCTCTCTCTCTCTCTCATAACCTGGCTTCTTTTGTGCATGGGTTTCTGTTGGTTGAACTCAGGACCTTGCGTATGCTGGGTGAGTGTTTAAATAAAGTAGATTTATTAATGTGTAATTTCTCAAGTAAACCCCATCTTTTTTTTTTTTTTTGTCAGGACAGGGTTTCTCAGTATAATCTTGGCTATTCTGAGACTTGTCCTGTAGACCAGGCTGGCCTCAAACTCATAGAGATTCACCTGCCTCTGTCTCTCAAGTGCTGGGATTAAAGGTGTATGCCACCACTGACCAGCTAAAACCCATCTTTTTTAAGGTATAGAACTCAGTAGACTTTTCTAACATAATCAAGTGATATAATCATCACAGCTATTTATTTGCATGTAGTTTTGTTTGTTGATTTATTTAGTTTTTTAAATTACTTTATTTTTGTTTTGTGTGTGTGGGTGTCTGTCTGTATGTATGCACCACATGTGTGCCTGAAGCCCACAGAGGGCAGAAGGTGCCATTCCTTGGAACTGGAGTTATAAATGGTTGGGTTTGATATTTTTTTTAAAGATTTATTTATTTATTTCTTATATATACAACATTCTGCCTCCATGTATGGCACCAGATCTCATTACAGATGGTTGTGAGCCACCATGTGGTTGCTGGGAATTGAACTCAGAACCTCTGGAAGAGCAGCCAGTGCTCTTAACCACTGAGCCATCTCTCCAGCTCCCTGGGTTTGATAATTTTAACTTGCAGGACAACTGCAAACCTGAGGCCAGTCCAGCCTACAGAGTGAGTTCCAGGTTAGCCTGGGCTACAGAGCAAGGTGATTGTGACTGGGGGAAAAAAGAAAAAAACCAACGAAACCAAACACCAAAAGGTAACCAACTAACTAAACCCAAAAAGAATCTCCCTGGGACATTTTCCTTTTTTTTTTTTTTTCTTTTTGAAGTTTATTCTTTGACGGGGGACAATGGGAGAGATTGGACGTTCATGAGTCACAGCTGGTGTTGCTTCCCTTGGTGTTCCTGCTGTTACATAACTGCAGGGACTGCTGTTCACACTGCAAGCTCTGGGGGGCGACTGCTGAGGACAGGCCTGGGGATGGGGCTCTCCAGGGACAAGCCTGGGGTGGATTCTTGAGGAAGCTTTCTGAGAAACCTCCAAACCTGTCTCCCCCTGCTCCTGCAGTGGCTGCTGGGGAAGAGGCTCTCACAGTAGGCATGGTGGTACATTTGTTGTTGGTTGGTTTTGTTTGTTTGTTTGAGACAGGGTTTCTCTATGAAGTCTTGGTACTCACTCTGTAGACCAGTCTGGCCTCCAACTCACAGAAATCCATCTGTCTCTGCCTCCTGAGTGCTGGGATTAAAGGCGTGAACCACCGTTCCCACAAAACCATTTTAAGAACTCTTTCTACAGATGAGACAAGGAAAAGCCACAGAAAGTCAATGTTTCTTTTCTATTTATTTATTTATTTTTCAAGACAGGGTTTTTCTGTAGCTTTGGAGGCTGTCCTGGAACTAGCTCTTGTAGATCATGCTGGCCTCAAACTCACAGAGACCCACCTGCCTCTGCCTCCAGAGTGCTGGGATTAAAGGCATGCACCACCACCACCCAGCGGATTTCTTTTTTAAAAAAAATATACTTATTATTTTATGCGAAGGTGTCAGATCCCCTGGAACTGGACTTACAAACAGTTATGAGCTGCCATGTGGATGCTGGGAATTGAACCTGGGTCCTCTTAGAGCAGCCAGTCCTATTAACTGCTGAGCCATCTCTCCAACTGTTGGACCCTTGAGTCCAAACACTGAGGAGGAGTCGCCCCCAAAGATCACTTCTCACACCACAGCTGATGTAAAAGCATGAGGATTTTATTAATTCTGTCATGACAGGGTCCCTCAACATTCAGAAAGCCGAGAGACCTCGAATAGCTGATACAGGCTACTTTTAAAGGAAAAAGCCACAGAAGCAAGGGGGGTTGTTCTTTGACTATTATTACTGTTATTTTGACTTATTCAACAGGGCTATTACCAATAATTGACTGGAGAGCTGTTGCCAGATCAGATGAATTAAGAGGTCATTTTGACCCCATTTCCCAGGAACTGAGTCAAAACATATGTGTATGGGTAATTGTTCAGGAACTGAATCAGCATCTTAAAGGTTATCTTGCTCCAATTTCTAGAGAACATACGTGCATGTGTAGCTATTAGGTCCTTGGTTCCCAGGGGAGGAGGGAAAGCACTAAGGCACGGAGGCTGAGAGGGTTCAGAATTGTCAGAAATGGCTTCAGAATTGTCTTAAAGTTTTACACAACCCCCTAAGGGGATCCTTTGAGATCAAGGCCAGCCTAGTCTATAGAGTGAGTTCTAAGACAACCTGGGCTACACAGAGAAACCATACATTGAAACTGCTTCCCCATCCCCCAAAATCTAATATAAAACAATTTGTTTTAAAATTTTTATTATTTTTGATTATTTGAAGACAGGGACTTATAAATTCTTGGCTGGCCTCAATTTCAATTTGCTATATAGCTGAGGAAGACTTTTTTTATCCTTCTGTTTCTCACCTCCCAAGTGTTGGGATTACAGTCATGTGCCACCATGCCTGGTTTTGTGGTGCCGGGATGGAACCTAGAGCTTCCAGGATGCTGGGCAAGACCCTACCAACTGAACTACATCTCCAGCTAGGTAGATGTCTCCATAGGAGGTACCACTGCCCAAGTGCAGTGCCCAAGTAACAAGGTACAAACCTGTTAGGGACTCAGTTCTCTTGAGAAGGGTAAATGCTTTGGAGTTTTGTGTTGAACAAAAAATCAAGAAGAGCCCACCCATCTCAGAAACTCCCTTGGTTTTTCTCTACTTTGATGCTTTAGGTGTACCGAGCTAATGGACCAGACGGAGCTGTGGGCCGAGGCCAGAGGATCCACCTGCAGTTATGGGACACAGCAGGACAGGAGAGGTAGGCGTGTCCTGCCCAGTGCTCTTGCTACACTGACCTGGGCAGGCAAAGGCAGTCAGTTGGCTCATGTGCACCTGGTGAGCTGGGCTGCCAGATCAGTCTGCGGTCAGCCTGAGGGGACAGCGTTGGGCGTATTTTCTCTGCAATCAACAGAGATGGGAATCTCATTAAAATTAAACCTTCTTATTTGGGACTCATTCTTTTTTTTTCCCCCATTTTAGGCTTTCCCCCCATTGCCTTTAGCTGCTTGCTCACCTGTAAGGGAGTCCTAAGGCTGGCTGCTTTCTTCCTATCTGATACAGACATCTGGCTGGCATGACTTAATCTGGCCACAGGTTACTTAACTAAAATAAACAGTGTCACATCCTTGTGTAAGGCTACTTTCAGCCAGCTACAGCCCCCTTGAAGGATTTTCCCTGTGTGTGTGTTCTCCTGTGGTATGCAGGCACATGTGTGACGTGGGGCCCAAGGTTGACATCAGGACTCTTCTTTGATTGTTCTCTACCTTACTCACTGAGGCAGGATCTCTCGCTGGAACCCAGTGCTCAGCGATGCAGCTGGTCTCTAGCTTGTTTTGAGAACCTCGCCTCTGTCTTCTGTGTGCCGGGGTTACACACTGGTCTGTGTAACTATGTAACTATGTCACCATGGTCTGCTATGCCCACCTGACATTTATGTGGGTTCTGAGGAACCAAATCTGGTTGTCAAGCTTGTATAGGAAGCATTCTAACCACAGAGCCATCTCCCCAACCCTCTTTAAAGGATTTAAAAAAAAAAAAACCATAGAAATTTTCAAGTGTACAGAAAACGGTAGAATCCCGGTCACTTCACCCGTGTCAGCAATCACTGTGCTGGGGCCAGTCTTATTGCACACGCCCCCTTATCACTTCTCTCCCTCCTGTGTTACCTGGAGGGCAGACTTTAGATGTCATATCATGCCATCTGTAGCTATTTTGGTTTGTATCTGTAAACAATAAAGACTTTTGGTAAGAACATTGAATAAAATAATTGAGAAAAGGATTGGAGAGAGGGCTCAGCAATTAAGAGCACTGACTGCTCTTCCAGAGGACCCGGGGTTCAATTCCCAGCAACCACATGACAGCTCACAACTGTCTGTAGCTTCCTGCTCCAAGGGATCTGACACCCTCATACAGACATCCATGCAGACAAAACACTAGTGTACATATAATAAAAATAAATATATTTTAAAAATTGAGAAAAACCTACTATTTCTGAATAGCTGGTTAACGTGTACCATGTCCTTCTGCGGAGCCTACTGGCCAGTTACAGACTGTGTTTATGCAAAGTGGGAGGAACCGACTAGAGGAAGGGCATGGGCAGCAGGTAAAGCCTGAGCGGGGAGGTAGAATGTCTGGAAAGAGTTGAGTCGGCCTCAGCACCATTCCCACCTTAGAGGCAATGGAATGGTTGTCAGAGAGGAAAGACTTGTACAGAGCCTAACATGAGACCAAGAATTGCCTTGTAGGATCAGGAGGAAAACACACATGGCTAGCTAACACTGTTGCTTTTGGCCCAATGAACTCGTGGTTGTCCAACGATTTCCTGGCTGAGACCGAGGTTACACGGCAGTTCTCCAGTCCATGGGGCTCAGTTTTCAATAACACATTCTGTTCACGTTGAAATCAGGGAGTGGTAAGCACCTGCCTGGGAGAGCAGTGTGGGAACTGTGGATGAATCTCTGTGGAAGGTGGAAGGTGTCATTGGCGGCTTTGCATTTCAGGAGTGTGGCCATGACTTAGTGACTGTCTACTTTCGTGTCCTAGGTTTCGTAGTTTGACCACTGCGTTCTTCAGAGATGCTATGGGTTTCCTGCTACTGTTTGACCTGACAAATGAGCAAAGTTTCCTCAATGTCCGAAACTGGATAAGTAAGTGCTGGAGTTTCCTGGGCCCTGCTCTGCTCCCAGGGCCTGCTCTGCATGGCCTCTAGTGGAGCCATGTTATGTCTTTGGCTGAAAACAGCTCCGGGCCAAGGCTGCAAAGAGTAAGCTCTTCAGCTTACCGCTGCAGATGACTGACATTCCCTGCTCTCTCTGCTGGGGGTCTTCCCTGTCCTCTCAGGACAACCAAGGCTATACAGAGAAACCCTGACTGGAAAATCTTCTCCCCAGAGAAGGAGGGAGGGAGGGAGAGGGAGGAAGGGAGGGGCAGGGAGGGAGGGAGGGAGACAGAGAGACAGACTCTCAGATTCATCAACATAGACACTCTGAACTGTTACTTACAGAGTCTTAGAAGTGCTTTGGTTTATTAACTGAGCATGCATATGCATGAGTCTCTTGGAGGGTGGTCCCCCCACATCCACGTTCCTGGTCTGTAGATGTTGCATAGGACTAGAATTTGCATTTCCAGTAAGTTCTCAGAGAATGCTGAGGCTACTAGCCCACACACCTTACCCAGAGAGTCAGTGAGTCATTTAACCTTCCCTTGACGCTGGGAAGTAAGAACCGCTGTGATCAGTTGTGCATGAGGAAGCTAAGGTGGTCAGATAACCTCTGGGGAGGAGGTGGGGGGGGCACAGCCAGTAACAGGTAAACAGAGTCATGCTTCAACTTTAGGAGACGCTCATAACCATAGGTGACATCGGAGGTGCTAAGAGCACAGAAGAGACCTGGAGAGGAGACAGTGGAGCAAATCCTGACGGAAGTTGTGTCTGGGCATTAAAGGGTGTGGGAGCTGCACATTAACACAGTGTAGAAGAGGCCCAGCTTCTGCAGGAAACAGGGCACAGTCTGATCTTGCCTGGGCAGGTCTTGTGACCTAAGTTGTCCCCTGAAGGCAAAAGACAGTGTCCTGAAATTCAGGCCTGTGTGAATGCTTGGGGAAACTTCCTCCTACTTCACCTTCTCTTGATAAGACATGTGTGACCTGACTTTGTGAGGAGGAACTGAAGTGTCAACACTTGGAGCTGATAGTGACAACACACACACACACACACACACACACACACACACACACACACGAGGTCATGCATGCTGAGACCTGTGATTGTGAAAGTTCAGCTGCTTCAACTTTGTTCTGAAGTGTGAGGAGAGAGAAGTTGGGGTTTATTCTCCTTCTTTGGAAGGTGGGGCTACTTAGCACCCTGGAGCTCTCTCTCTGTCTGTCTTTCTTTCTTTCTTTCTTTTTTTAAGATTTCGTTTTTATGACTTTTTAAAAACTGGTGTCTGTGTGGGTAGGTGTATGTGAATGCAGGTGCCTTGGGAGGCCAGGGTAGCTGCTGGTGCTGAGCCACCTGGAGTGAGCGGTGGGAACAGAACCCAGGTCCTCTGGAAGAGCAGCATGTGCTCTTAACCACTGAGCCATCTCTCCAGTGCATTATGACTACGGCTGTAGCACCCTTCTTCCCCTTGGTCTTGGTGACAGTCATTTTACTGTTTACTCTATGTTATCAAACCATAGTTTTTGTTTGTGTACGACAAGGTCTCGCTATGTAGCCCAGGCTATCTCTGAACCCACAGAGCCTCTTCCTCAGCTTCCTGGGATTACAGGCATGCACCATCACACCCAGCTTCTTAATTGTTTTAAATAGCTTGGTTCTGCCTTAGGATGACACAGAAATATGAAAAGCATTTCACATATCAGTAGGTTCCATTATAAAAAGATATTTCTGGGCTGGAGAGATGGCTCAGTGGTTAAAAGCATTGCCTACTCTTCCAAAGGTCCTGAGTTCAATTCCCAGCAACCACATGGTGGCTCACAACCATCTGTAATGGGGTCTGATGCCCTCTTCTGGCCTGCAGGCATACACACAGACAGAATATTGTATACATAATAAATAAATAAATATTAAAAAAATAAAAAGATATTTCTTAGGGCTGTAAATTCAGTTCAGTTGGTGGGTATTTGCTTAGGACACATGAAGCCTTGGTTACCATCTTGGTACCCTATAAACTTCCGTGCACTACATACCTGTAATTCTAGCACTCAGGAGGTGGGCTAGAGCTTCAAGGGCATCCTTGGCGATATAGTGAGCTTGGTGGATAAAGGACGTCTCAAAAAACAAAAAGACAGTTCTATACAACTATTACTACTGTTGAAAGAAATTTTTAAAAAGTGACAAACAGGGTTTAAGATTAGTAACACATTGTGAGGCAGTGGTAGTGCATGCCTTTAATCCTGGCAACTCAGGAGACAGAGGCAGAAGGATCTCTGTGAGTTGTTCTCTGTAGCCTGGTCTACAATGAGAGTTCCAGGATAGCCAGGGCTACACAGAAAAACCTTGCCTCAGGAAAAAAACAAAACAAAACAAAACAACCCAAAAAACAAACAAACAAAAAACAAGAAAAGATTAACAACACACACACAAAGCCAAAAAAGTAACAATTGTAAATGTTTATTAATCGAAAACAGAAGATTAACAACACACAGGGCCAGGGAAATGGCTCAGTGTTTAAGAGTCCTGACTGGTGTTACAGAGGACCCATGTGTTAGTTCCCAACCATTTGCAGCTGCAGTTCCCGGGGATCTGGTGCCCTCTTCTGGCCTCTACAGGCATTTGTGTGCTTATAGTGCACATACATACAGGCAAGTAAACATTTTCACATAAAATTAAAAATAACTCTTTAAAAGAATTCTTCCAATTTTCTTTTGAAGTCCTTTCTGTTTATAAGGCTTTTAATTTGTTCTTTGATAAATTCACACAGTGTCTTTTGATTGTATTCATTCCCCTCTCCACCCCCTCCCTACCCATCGAAATTTATTTCCCCCCCCCTTTACAACCCCAATCAAAACAAACCCTTGTGTTAGCTGACTGATTCTGGGTGTGGGGCTTGCCCTGGAGTGTGTTGTCACTCCTTTGGAGACAACCAACTCTCCCTCCCGTCAGCAAACAAGTGCCGACAGTTCTCTAGGTAGGAGTGGGACTCCAGCCCCCTCCTTCGTGGTGGAATTTTGAGTGGTGTGAGCCTGTGTAGGCCTTGTGCGTGCCATCCCAATCTGAGTTCATACGTCTGTCCTGCCGAGTCTGGAAAATACTGTTTCCTTGAAATCATCTACTACCTCCAGCTGGCTCTTGTTAGCTTCCCAGCTCCTCTTCCACACTCATCCCTGAGCCTTGGGGAGAGTGATGTGGTACAGACATTCCATTTAGGGCTTGAGCATTCCGATTCTGTTATTCAAAAGACAGGTATTTTATGACCTGCGTACGCACACACACACTTTTAAGGGTTACTATATTCTTCCATATCTCTCTGATATAAACACACTGGAATGTTTATTAAGGACAGGAATAATAATCCTTTCAGTCTTAAAGATTATAGTGTTGATGCTTTGAGATATTCTATCGGCTCTTCACCCCTGTATATGCACTTGTGGTTTCCAGAAGCACTTTTACATGGACTTTCTACTGCTCGCATGCTTACATTATAACGACATGTAACAAGCTTTCCTGTATCATAGGCCAGCTACAAATGCATGCATACTGTGAAAACCCAGATATAGTGCTGTGTGGAAATAAGAGTGACCTGGAAGACCAGCGGGCAGTGAAAGAGGAGGAAGCCAGGGAACTCGCAGAGAAGTATGGGTGAGTATCCCTGCGGCGGGATCCGGAGGAACCGCTTTAACAGAAGCGTTAGCGTGCGAGCAGCTGGAATGACAAAGTGAGGACTTAAAGTAAAACGCTTCGCTTTTGGCCTTGAGAGGTAGCAAGCGCCTCACGTTCTATGAGTGTCACAGTGGGACTTATAAAAGAAACACAGGGTAGGGGCGTCCTCTGGTATCTTGGTCTCCTTTTGTTAACCCTTTGGGATTTGCAGAAAAAGAGCCTTGAGTGCGAATGTGCTGGCCTGAGGGCCTTCTAGCCAACAGGCAAACAGAAGAATCTTATTTGTTTATTTATTTACTTACTTACCTATTTGTTTATTTATTTATTTTGAGGCAGGAGTTCTCTGTCTAATGTTCTTAGCTGTCCTTGCCTACTCACTCTGTAGACCAATCGGAGACCCTCTGCTTCTGCCTCCAGCTGGGATTAAAGGTGTGAGCAGCCACCCCTGCCCCTGCTACCACCACCTGGCTAACAGAAGACTCTTAGAATAAGGAAATCCTCTGTGTTTGGCAAGGAAATTTCAAAACTGCTTTGCAAACCCCGTTGCAGAGTCCTGGCAATTGGGAAGGCCTCAATGGGTATCACAGAGCAGGCGTTGACTTTGGGGAGGAACTGAAGACGCCCTTTGGTTTAGGCTGATTTTGAGTGGCGCCTCTCTTCCTTTTTCAGCTCTTGTAGGAGGTTCATGGTGGGGGCACCACGGCGTTTGCGCGTGAAAGGGGAGGGTGAACTCCAGAAAGTTACTGCCTCACTTGGCTTCCCTCTCCTGACTTAAGAGAATGCAAATGTAGAAAAAGTAGGAGGCAGGGATGGAGCGATTGCTAGGCAGTTAGAGCGCTTTGTCCACAATCACAAGAACCAAAGATTGGACCTCATCACCAGGTCACAATCTGGGTGTCTGGTGGATGGCTGTAACCCCAGCTCTGAGGGAGGCAGAGACAGAATCACCGCTAGGGCTTGCTGGCTCTGTTCTTCCGTTGTCTGATGGAGGTTCAGGAGGGACTAAAGGATGGGACTGACCTGGCGAGGGAAGAGGGGAATGGAAGGTTAAGTTGGCCAGGCTGCAAGAAGCCAGACTCTGGGGGGCTTTGACTATCTGCCAAGGAGAAAGGGCTGGAAGGTTTTGAGCACCGAAAGGTGTTACACTCTTCTGGGTCTGCTTGGGAACTGCAGGTGGGGTAAAATGGAGGGCGAAACACTGGTAAGGGGTGGGCAGTGATTTGTGAGGTGGTCAGGAGCTGGATTTCTGGGAAAGGAAAAGAGGGGTACAGGAGAGAAGACACACCGGGTGGGGCGGTGCCACTTCACCTGGGGAATTCCCACAGCCCTGCTGGCTTACTCTGGCAAGGAGATGCAGTGAGATGCCCAGTGTTTCATGCCAGGTCCACCCTAACCAAAGATCAAATTCTGGGAATGCTCAGCCTGGCTACAGCGGCATACCATGTTGGGGGTAGGGGGGCTGGGCGCTGGTGACTTTAGCAGCTTGCCACGTGGTTTTCTTATGCAGTTATCGTGACCAATCAGCCTACTTGTGAGATTCTGAGCTAGAGGCTGGCAGAGCTCACAGGCAGTTCCGGTATCCCCCACCTCCTCCTTGAGAGGCACTCAAATAGTGTGGAAAGGAAATGGGGGGGGGGGGACTAGAGTGCTGAAGGGAGGCTATTTTGCAAGGAGATAAGGAGGAAGTCAGCCGTGAGGCAACAGAGGCGGTGGTTATCACCCATGCTTTTGAGATGTGAATGAAAAAGTGGGCGGATGAGAAGAGTCTTGCAACAAACATTTCTCAAGCACCTGCGGAGTAGAAGGATCAACCTCTTTGTCAGCCCCTTTCTCGTTACTCCATTTTGGGTCGCAGGAATCTGCAGTCGGCCCGGCATCAGAGAGCTCTGTTTTGTGTTGCGCTGGGGTTCTGAGTCAAGTGGGGACTGTCTTTCCCTGTGTCCAGTGCTGGCCATGGAAGACACCACAAAGATGGGCTGAGCTGAGTTAAAAATAAGAGTTTTTTGTTTGTTTTATTAAGGGTTTTATTGTTTTGTACTACTAGGAATCAAACCGAAGGTTCACACTTACTAGGCAAGCTTTCTGCCACTAAGCTATGCCCTACCCCACCCCACCCCACCCCCATGAGAAGAGGGTTTTGTTTTGTTTTGTTTTTTTGTTTTTGTTTGTTTGTTTTCTGGTTGTTGTTGTTGTTTTTGAGACAGGCTTTCTCTGCATAGCTCTGGAGCCTGGCCTGGAACTAGCTCTTGTAGACCATGTTGGCCTGGAACTCACAGAGATCCACCTGCCTCTGCCTCCCGAGTGCTGGGATTAAAGGCGTGTGCCACCACCGCCCGACTTGAGAAGAGGTTTTAATCGACGAGGGTAAAGGAAGCAGTTGGAGAAGAGAGGAAAGGGATGGAGACAGTCCATGCTCCTTTAATCACAGAAAATAGTTGGTGGAGGTGATAAGCTACTTTGGCTGCTTTATTCAGAATGGAGGAAACCAAGAAGATGGAGAATGGGACGAAAGGACAACTGGATGACACACCTGTGTGCTGTGCAGGTGACTGGCCACAGCTGGA